GAGGCGGGTGGCGTTCATCAGCGATGATCTGTACCGCCACGATAGGATGACGCCTCAGAGATTCTTGGGAATTTGTGAAAAATAAATCGGCAACGTTTCCATCGCGCTGGCGACACGATTGTTCCTTCGACTCTTGAAACGACGTGCGATTCGTTCGTCTTATACGAATTAACAGAAGCTTTGACGGGCTTTGTACTATCGCGAAAATGATATATCACTGTTGCTTTTGTATATTTATAACTCGCAGCAAATTTGTATGAGCTCTTTGGACTCTTTGGACTCTTCGAACTCTTATCTTATCTTGCTAATGTAAGCATTCCGTAGGATGGATTTTAGGGTGAGGTCTGTGCAGCACGTGATTAGGGACAGCATGGGAGTGTGTGTGGGCGCGTGTGCATATTTGCCGAATAATACATTAAAGCACTTGGCTCATCCAGCCTCTCAGCATCTCAACTAGCATCGGGAGCATCCTGAGCTTGTGTTTCGTAGGGAATCGCGAATAATCGTACCTCCGAGTGGGCAGAGTGAGCGAAGCGGCAGCTTCCGTTCTTCATGAATGATTGTCGAATTGGAAATAATTGATAATTGAACTTTTGACCGATGCCTGAACGTTTGCGCATCGTCGTCGCTTAATGATTTCAATATATTTCTCTAGAGCTGGTCTTCGGAGAGAGAATCGTTTGTAAATCAATTTTTTAATAGGATTTCGCTATGACCTTTTTATTCGTATTGCGCCATGCCCTGCAGAGAATTACTTTGTTATTTCGGTAGGATTTTAGCAAAGAGTAAAAGCCAAAGGAGAATGAAGAATACAAGAGGCAATGGATCTCACTGTTTTTAAGGGACTTTACGTGTCCACTCGTACGTCACATGGTTGGCTGCATCGGAGACGCATGGAGATGCGCGGTGGAGTCGAGGGTCCACGCAGAAGCGGGAGAGAGATGGAGATGTAAGGAAACGAAGAGAGGAAGGGCATGTCAAAAGTTCCTAAAAACAAAGTATCACGTCGCAGGTTATTGGCAATTTTTCTTTAGATATTTAGAGAGAAAAATAAATCGAGAGAGAGATAGATAAAAAGAGCGCGCGAGAAAGAGAGGGAGCGAACGAGAGCGAGAAAATAAAAGTTGAGAGATGAAAAAATATAGCTTTTTCATATGACACCTATGTATATGGATTGGTTGACTTTCGTCAATATTTAATGATTAATGATACATCTAATGTACGCATGTCATCTGGATTGATCGGAACGAAATACGGATATCGGTAATGTTTATTAGTTCATAAGTTTGTAGGACAACTGTACAACTTGGTGTCTCAGTCGATAATAAATAAAGATGCACACTTTTTACTTATCTCCCGTGTATAATTTATACTTTTCGAAAATATTTCCACAAGTCGTACCATTAAGAAAACAATAAGTCATTAGCTCTGTCTTCTCTTCTTGGTCGCTTCGCTGGACTTCTCTTCGCCGCAGGAATTTCCGTTTTACAATGATTGTCCGCCACTACCTCATTCCTCAGGCTCCCCGATGACGTAACCGAAGACTCTTCAGGATCTATCGATCCCGTCTTTCGCGAGGATCTGCCCGATTCTTTCGCAGAAGACCGATCGATCTCAATCTTTACCTCGGCAACTTCGGCATCCGTCATCTCTTGCCTTGTTAAGAAATACAATAAGTTACGACAGATCTTTAGAATACTCATTTATTTCCCTTAATCCTCACCTGTCGTCGGAGCCTAATGGTTCGGACTTCATTTTTCTGCTAGATTCAGGCTTCTTTATCTGATTATGCAAATCCATCATTGTCCTAAAAGTATCGATAATCAAACCCGAAGAGTCGGTACAGCCTGATTTCTCCTTAAATAAATCTTCATGGAAAGGTGCAGTCTCGATGCTCTCTGGGAGAATGAAACGTATAAATTGTCAGGTGCGTTCAGCACGTATCTGGCTTAATTTTCAATAACGAATGAAAATGGATCAATGAGTAAAACTTATGTGAAGCACGAATGATCCGCGTGTGGGAGAGATTACGAGCGAATGAGAGGGGCGAACGAGGGCGCGTGGTCGGCCCTGACGACGGATTCCTCGTGCGGGTGCGAGACCGTACAGACGCTTCTAACTGTAAGAGGAGTCCGAGTGGACGAAAGAGCAAGAAATGTGCAAACGAGAAGAATCGGCGAATGCGTGTGCGTGCGTGTGCGTGCGTGCATGTGTGACGAACGCGAGAGATCGAGGCGCGAGAACGCCCCGCAGAATGGCGAGTGCGGGATAATAAAAGAAAAACGTGAAGCCCATCGTGCGTTTTCTCATTTAAGCTCGAATTCGCATCCTGACGACCCACTTCCCTAACGCACAGCACACGACGCGCGAGAGACAGACACGTGTATTTAGGACTGATTACTTCTTATCAATTCGCCACCGCGAGCCTTGTACTCTGAGATCTCCTCGTCCTTCCTCTTTATGAGATTGAGGAGGATCGACTGTCTCCGCTGCATTTCCATCGCTGATCGACAAAGGGGCTCCGTGATCTCTTGCCAAAATTCTTGAGGACTCGCCTTGCTCAAGTTCAAGTCGAACTTGAATGCGCCGCCGGATATGGTAGCTTCCAGTCTTATTGAACTTGTGGACGCGCAAACCGCGTGCCTCGGGATGTCGTCGAATATCTCTTGGAGAATTTTCTTCGCGTTTACCACGTTGACGTTGAGTAGAGGATTTAATTTCTGCAAAGATAAATCAATTTTACAAATAGCAATGTAAGAGAAATCTAGTGAGAGTTTATATTCACTTGACACAACGGTACCTCGCATCTACGTATCGCTGAATCCTCGGTAAGTGCTTCGCACCATAATTCTATCAGGTTTGACAATAAAATTTTCCACTCGTCGTTAGCAATTCTGCAACTTATCGCGTACTCGGTATTGTCTAATTTAATAAGCCTCCATTTGGATGCGACGTCGCTCGAGTTGCCGGACGATGATGTATCCATTGTTCAAAATTTCAGCCGAGTAAAGTAAATACGTAGAACTAGAAGTAAATTAGAGGAAATTATACATCTTTGAAAGTGAACAAATGTCAGCCGGCAATAAATCACGAATCCAGAAGATACTTAATTATCTAACACATGTGACCCATAAAATATTGTATATAGTCCAAATTGGATAATCATTCGAAGTACCACACGAGATTCGTGAAAAGAAAAAAAAAATTCTTTCGTTTATCTAATCTCGTTTTACTGCTATACTGCTAAGATAATACTAATTAAGACAGAGTATCGTATAAAATGGATCGCGACGTTGGCTCTTCAACATCTACGTCATCGAAATGTACGTAAGTAAGTACTAATAATAACAATAATAAAGTAATAATCATCCACCGTATAACAAAATATTTATCAAATAATTTCTTTCCAAACATTTGCACGAGATTCTGCTGCACACAAATTGAGCAATCTTTTGATAAGACTCTAAATAATTTTTTAACGTCGCCTCGTCAGATTTACCACGTGCTTTTGAGCGCCATATTTCATATGACGCCGGCTGTTTTCCTATTTTTCGCACAAAACTCTTCACGTCTCTGGATCCCGCGCACAGTATCAAAAAGATACTGAAGTCGATGCGTTTCCACCGTCTTCATCATGACGAAGCAGGACGAGAAGCATCGCTTGCAGAGCGGTAATACTTCAATATTGATATTTTAGTTTCACGAATCTTTGAGTCAGACTTTCGATTTCTCTTATAAGCAGTTTTGAACACGGATGCCGAAAGTGCGAATTTTGAAGAAGCCATCACTCTTGCTGGTAAGTTTAACAGGTGCTGGAAGCTCGAATGAAAGAAACTTTGATTATTAAATAATTGACGGCGACTGACGATGTTCCAAGGATGTGGCCGATACCACTTGGAAGTGCTTCTAGTCTGCGGAGTGATAACAATGTGCGTTGGCTTCGAGAATGGTTTGAGTTCCTACATTCTCTCGTCCGCGCAGTGCGATCTCGATCTCAGTTCAAGTGCAAAGGGAATGGTGAATGCTGCTTTTCTGGCAGGTAACACGTGGAATTCGTATATCGACACATTTCGGAGATCGGCTTTTCTTTATCTTTAATCGTAAGTAATATTTAGGTGCTACCGCCAGTGCCTTGCCGTGGGGTGTCACGGCGGACGCGATTGGGAGAAAAAAAATTCTTGTCATGTCTTTACTGACCAATGGAATTATTACGTTCGTCTCTAGTTTTTCAGGAACTTTCCTGACTTTTGCATCACTTCGCTTCGTCAATGGATTCATGTGCGTACAAATTTACATCATCATTTTTTTGATCCACGTTGCGCATCAAGTCCTTTTTCTTTAATCAGGATCGGTGCACCAGGAACGCTCACGTTTTCTTACGTCGGTGAATTTTACTCCGATAAGTACAGGCCCAAAGCCATCACCGCGATGGGACTGTTCTGGCTCACCTCTTGGATATTATTGCCAGGTAATTCCAGCAATTTCATCAAATTATTGTACAGGTTTACAATTTTTTTTTTATTTTTTTTTATTTTTCAATTGCAGTATTTGCCTGGATCATCATTCCGTTGAAATTGAATTATCAAATCTTTGGAATCTCCTGCCATTCCTGGCGGCTGTTTGTCCTGGTCTTCGCTCTGCCTAGTATACTCACGGCGCTCCTCCTGATGCGCTATCCGGAGAGCCCCAAGTTTTTACTTTCCCAAGGAAAGAAGAAGGAGGCTCTCGCGATCATTCGACAAATATTTGCTGCCAACACTGGGAAGGACAAGCACGAGTTTCCCGTGAGTCTGTCGTAAATGAGTTTGACGATGATTTATTTCCAAATGGAGACAATGTTTGCGCGCAGGTTGTTCGTTTCTTTCTTCTATTCAGGGCAACGATAAGAGACGCACCTCTCGACTCTTCGTATTCAATTATCTATGAGACTCCGGTAGCGCAGATCTCTTTGGATCATCGAAATAAACCCCTTCAATGGGAAACTAATTAGAGCTTACACGAATTTAAAGCACCTGCCAAGGACGTCCTAAATTATTATATGGGTTTTGTCATTCCATCCCCAGATTTCAAATCTCATAATGGATTCGGACGCCAGTGAGAATCAAGCAAAAACAATTTCGGATATAATAAGTAACATACGAAAGCAAGTGTGTTATCTTATGACGCCACCTCTTCTTAAATATACAGCACTGACGTCTCTCACAATGGCCGTCACTATGTTTGGGTTTGTTTCTTGCGCACATATTTCATTCAATTTTACTTGATCGTTCACACCAATTCTGATTGGATTTTTCTTCGTTACTCTCGTTGCAGATACTTAGGCTTTGCTTTTTGGTTTCCGGAACTGTTCAACAGGTTTGAAAGTCACTACAGGAACAATCCAAACGCCTCGGTTACGCTGTGCGAGTTGTCGGCTCTTCGTAACGAAATCGGACCAGTCTATCTGAACGATCTGAACACAACAGAGACCAACTTTACGAATGTCGGGACAAAAATTCTTTCCACGTTAACGTCCAGGAGTTTACCGATTCTCGAAAAGAGTTCGCTTCAGACTTGCGATCCTTCGGTAGATTTAAAGGTCTTCAGTAATACGATAATAATAGGCGCTGTCTCTCTGGTAGTGAACGTTGCAGCTATTTATCTGTCGCATCATCTTAGTAACAATATATTACAGAGTAATTTGAAATCCAGTAAATTTATTTATAATCGACGTCAAACGTCGAGATCACACTGATCCAACCTTCTTTTCAGGCACTACCTTGACGATAGCGAGTATCTTCTGTTGCACGCTCTATTTTGTCAGATCGACATTCCAGAATCTTATCGTTGCCTCTTTGTTTTCTGCATTTGCAAACGTGGGCATCGTCGTCTTCACCGGAGCAGTCGTTGACTTATTCCCCACGAGAGTCAAGTATTAAATCAATCTTTGTTTAAGATAACGAAAAGTATTATTATTATTTAGTAACTCTCATGTTTTAGCGCTATGGCCGTTTGTACCGCTACTTTTACGGGAAGATGCGGTGCCATTTTGAGTAACATCCTCTTTGGCGAACTGCTCGACACTCAGTGCGCCTTACTAGTGTTTCTCATGAGTGCCGCTCTCTTATGTGAGTATGAGCAATACTTTTTCTTTTTCAATAGTCTCTTTAGCACTCAATCCTCCCAATTCACTCTATTTAATAATCGTCCGTTGCAGGTGCTGGACTCTTAGGATTTCTCGTACCGAAGAAGATCCCGGAATTACCTCAATCAGGAAAAAAGTCGAGTACAGCGTGAGAGTTGGCGACTGTTATAATAAAGATATATTGACTTTTACACCAACGACATGTCGAGTAAACTCTTAAGGAGAACTTAAGAGACTCAGGAATCCTTTGGTGCGCGTTTGATTATCCGAATGTTAACGGCATGGAAAGTCTCGGACCAAGAGTCCTTCGAGCTCTTTCCGGTAGCGGACAATTTTCCTTTAGTCCTCGACGGCACGAGGATCCGATACTGTTCTCTCAAGGCTTCGTCATCTTCCATCTGTAAATAAAGCCAGTCATTTGTACGCTTATGCAAATAGGAGGAGTTGACATTATCTTAAATAGTACTCTGGCAAATATATTAACCATTCCGGGATCGAGACACTCCGAATTTCCCTCGTAGCAGCCGCCGCCTGGCTCGATCGATCTTCCCTTCTGCCAGGATTTTCGTTTGCCGGACATGAGAAAGTTGTAAATCGAGGAACTGCTGCATCCTGACGAATGGACTTCTGCTTTTTCGCGCTCCTTTGGAAATATCCGCTTGACACTGTCCACCGGACGACACGTGGATTCATCTTGGCGTAACACGAGCACCCGATTCTTTCCCATGTTCCTCCTCGAGTCTCCTGTATTGACAAATCATTCGAAGGTATTTATCTAGTGTATTATCAATCCTTGTGACTAAAGACTTAAAACGGTGTACAAACCTGGTGAGTTCTTTGGCGGATTTGGTGGTTTCGTGGCTAAAGGATTCAGGAACCGATTTACCGATGTATCGTTCCTTGAGACGGATCTTCGTTTCGGTACAGGAAGTGGAGGTCCTTCGAGTCTTAACTTGAGACAAGGATTTCCGTTCTGATCCGAGCATTGCAGAGCGACCGGTGTGCTTGTCGATTCTGAAGTTAATTTTTGTAAAAATTTCGATTTTTCACTGGACCTTCCAGCCTCTGGTTGACGTATATTTTTGCGGATGGATCTAGCCATCCCTTTGCTCCTACTGGACAGACTCTGTAGAATGTCCTTCGTGTAAACGCCGATCTTCTTGGTGATTGTCGAGAGATCGCTATACTCTGTTTTGAGCCTGTCCAATAAATAATTCTCGAGTATGGAATTTTTGGAATCCTTATCCGTTATCGTACAGGAGACACCTACATCTTTGACAAGGACAGCGTCATACGGACCCCTGTCACTGGCGCAGCTCCTAAGACAATTCAACGACGACAATCACACTGTTCGAAAAATCAAATTTCACCGAGGCTATTAAGAACCTGTAATATGGAAATCCACAGTTCTCCATTCCGTATTCCAGAGTATCGTTGCTCTTAGAAAGGATGCCACTTTCAAGTAAATCGGTGCGATCGATAAGAGCTTTGCTCGCGACAGACAAGGAGGACGCACCATTGATCTTGAATGAATCTTCATGTCTTTCGTTGAGACGCTGGACCAATTGCGCCCATCTTTAATAATATTTTATTTTATTCTTAAAAATCAAACGCGATTCGTTTCGGTTCTCTTCGCAATTTATCGATCATTCACGCAGGCCGAAAAGTCTCACGGATCTTTAATGCCGCCAACGGATTTACCGAAACTTTCAGTTTCCGTTGGCCCATTACCGGGAAAGACACGCACGTGCTGTAGTTTCTGCGCTCAGAAGCTTCTGCGACATCCATTGTCTCTTAGAATCCTCATTGTACCGTCAAATTTGGAGGTTCCTTCCTGTAATTCGAGAGAAAGGTTACGCAGGGCTGGACTGGTTAGATTTGACAGCTGTCATCTTATCAGTTTGACAGGGATCACCGATCGTCCCGATTTTCTCAGTCTCGACTCGTGTCGCCGACAGATGGCAGGAGCCTCGCCTAGACGTCACTTACATCCTGCATAGAAGGTAGGAGAATCGATTGATATTCTGTAAATGCCGATAATGAATGTCGCCTCGGGAGGTGGGGACAGATCCGGTTAGCCCTCTTGGAAGCTGTCAGTTACGCCACAAGTTGTTGACGTCGCGTAATAACTTCAAAATAATTCGTTAGTGTTCCGAAAGTTATCGGCAAACGGTCAGTCGATTTCATAACCGAGCATGCATACACAAATCTGGATCTGTGATAGATGAATAAAAAATATCGTGAAAATTGTTATTAGAGAATTCTCTTAAATACACGTAACTCCGTTGGCTACGCTAAACGTAAAATTCCGTGTAAATGCAAATAGAATAAAAATGACTATGAAGAAACAAGGAGCACAGTGACTAGTGCCAAATCAGAATTAGTCCTTTTTTTTTTTACGAGGCCTCCCCGGCTTTGCGAATTTTGAAACAGCGTCCAATAGGATGTCCGATGAAGAATCGTGCGACCGGTGAAACGTGGTACCAACGGAAAGTGAATGTTCTCCAAGGCTCCAACGGCATAGCGGCCATGATTGCTATGGCTGCCATGCCAGGGAACTCAGTACCTGTCAGGTCGTTGTCGCAGGCGTATTCCCGGTTGGGCTCCGACAAGAAGAAGATCACGGAGTCGATGCGTCCCTAAGCTGTAGAATATCAAGGGACGTTTTCGAGCCTGAGACCGCGCAGTGCTTTAAACGTGTGCACAAGAAGGATCCCTCCCGGAGATTCGAACGTCTCGATCGGATCGGCAGCTACGATTTTCCTAGCCGACACCGCGCGACTGAGTCTCGGTGGAAATCGACGAGGAATTTACTAAAGGAGCATTACGACTGGAGTGTTACGCAAACCAAAGGCGACTGCCGTTAAAACTGTCATCGGAAGAGTTCGCGTGTGTCGAAGTGAGAGCCGATCTGCCGATTTGCCGATTTCCCAAGATAAATATCGACCGGATAGTTTAAAAGTGCAAAAGAGGCCGAAAAAATCAGGAAATCCGTTCGACCTGCTCCTGAACGAAGTGATTTACGGGGGTTTGAGTAGGAGCCGAATCAGTGGTGTGATCGAAGCAATCGGGGATTGCTGGTGACGGGGTGGGACGCGAAGGGGGGACGACGCCGACGGCGACGTCTCTTTCTGGCACCCGAGTGTCCCCGTGCTCGGAATAGTATAACGAAGACACCGGTATGACTAATGGAGAAGTTTAACGGAGTCGTAAGGATTTTCAACTGATCGTGCTCGTGTACCTTTAAAATTGCTCGGCGTTCCGATTTCAGATTTGGAAATACTTCTGATCGGTTTAAAGTCGCGCGAACCGAAGGCGCAGCATTCTCGCCTAAGTGACACCGGAAAATGATTGACAGGACAGTCGTGTAATTTGCAGAACGCAGTCTCACGGTGCAACGGCCGAATATCAGTGTCAACCACTATAGTGCAGCATAGTGCAGCATAGTGCAGTTTCGTGCGATTTCCCATATTGCTTGGCCGATGTAGCGCAATGTTTGTTATGCGGACTGTGCTCACTGTAGCAGCCTGCCTGCTCATCTCAGGCTCTGGTAAGTTCATTTTCGAACGGGCTCATTCTGCATTCTGAAAAGAGGCAGCTATTAAAAAAGTAGGTAACTACCAGCTGCTAGCCGCTGGCTGGCTGGCTGGCTGACTGATAGTCCACTCGAGAGTTCCCGTCGTCCGGACAAGTAGCTTCCGTCATTTCCCACGAGTACTCGCCTCTTTGGTATTCCAGAAAAGCGCCAACATTGAGAAACGAAAGAAAGAACGGAGACAGGAGTCAAATATTGAACCGTTGAGTTATAGGGAAGAGAGAGAGAGAGAGAGAGGGGTGGAACGCATTGGAGTTGCGTAGGAGCCACAAGGTGCGTTCGTTCGCCACTCGCAAGAATAATTGGGTCAGCAGACACGATGCAAAAAGTCCCAGCGGTTCCCACTTGTCGCTGAGGTCGTCGGATTGAATAATGTAATTCAAGAAAATCTTTAGACCCAGAGGGAACCGGTACTTTTCCCTGGCATTCGCCACTTTGTTTTCGTTCTGTCCGACTGTGGCGAACCTCCCGAGGCTATTTCGAATGAAGCCATTCGTTCCGGCAGTAGCTGACGATACCACCGGTTCCGCCATAACTTGTATCTTCTGTTCGAAGGAAATACTACTCGGATGTCGCCCGGAGCTCGTTATTCGATTCTCCATCAGCGGCAATTACTGCGATTACCTGCCGAGGAAGATTCTTCTTTCTCTCTGTTTACCTGTGGCTGCGCACGCATTCTGCGTGGCTGCGTGGCTGCGTGGCTGCGCGTGCACCCACAATTATAGAGGATCGAGTCCGTTGCAAGTTGGCCGTTCTCCGAAGTCAGAGACCGCGCTAATTCAATGGCTGCCGGTTCGAATCAAAGAGATAGGCAGCCGACCGATTTTTAACGATTTATTTACACTCACACGAACTGCTGTCATTAGAGAAAGAAGACATTAAGAGCGAACGTATTGTTTGTCGAACGATGCTTCAAAATAATTTGAGCCTTACCAGAAACTGGCTCCTGTTAAAAAAAATATGAGTTGTCGTCACGCGTGTCCGGGTTCGATTTCATAACAGATACGTACGATGGTCAAAGTCCTTTGCGTTAACGTAAAAATGTCGCACCTCTCGAACGAAGGAGCTTTTCTTTTGGGAATGGATTATTGACATTGATCGACTTATAAAAATCTCTTTTCCTCTCAACGTTTTTCTATGGACTCTTCCGAGTCTTTGTCCTTTGTGATTCTCGAGGTGCTGAAGGAAGAGATTTCATCTGGCTGCCGTTGATGCTGAACACAGCGTGGGTATGGAGAAACTGGATTGTTGGAAGTGACCATACATGTTGTACACTCTGGGACCTTGAAATTGGCTTCTACCCGAAGAATCCACAATTCTAGATCCTTGACATTGACAGCGAAATTGTCATGGGATGATATATAGCCGCGCGTAATCATTGACAGGAACAACGAGGATCGAGAATTTGTGGTCAGTTTGGTAAAAGTCAAGTAGACGTCCGATGAGAATTGACCAAAGGAGAAAGGTGAACTGGACGAGGGAAAAAAATAAATAAAATGAAAAAGAAACGACTTATAAAGAAGGATGCTGCGATAACCGAAGAATCCCCCACGAAAGTGAAGTGCTACTCTGTGGAATATATTTAAGAGAAGCGTGTCTGGCCTTCTCCGAGTGAAAGTTCTCCGGTTTGGCTCTCCGGTTTAGTCTAGCTGAAGACAAAAATATATATATATATATATAGTCATAGCTTCCCCCCTCCCTCTTATCACCTCCTGAACAAGCGATACACCCAACAACGCCAGCATCCTTAACCGATCCCATCTGAGCAAGAGACATGCACTCACGCACTCACGCACTCACGCACGCGACCACTTCACTCCCGGAAATTACTCTAGGCATTCTTTACCGACGTCATGGCCTTGAATGGTTCTTTGATCCTGGAACTTTTATTCGATCGTATTAAGGTCTAGAACGATTCGGTCGTCATTCTGAGAGTCGAAGGTCCAACGCAAATTATTTCCTTACTGCTTCCTATACATTTGGGATATTCTATTTTCTCTTACTTCTAAGTCTTCTTATATATCTCAAGACACAATGTCTAATGGTGAGAATGAATCTCAGGCTTCTTTTTACTGCATAATTGACAGTCGAGTAACAACGTAATACAGTTAATTCGTCTATGGGAATTCTGCGGAGGATAAAAGGCTATTTGGACGAGTCGATCGGACGAGCACCACTATTGCTGCGGTACAGTTACTCCAATCGTGAGTCACGTTTCCGCAGCTTTAGGAACCCAAAGTCAATTTGACGGCTCTGTTTCGTCAAGTCACTTCAATAATTCTCGGGCAGCTCGAGAAATGCTGAACTTTTGAATTTGCCTTCTTCTGTCGATCCTACGAAACGACGATTCGTGAAGATCGAATTGCCGGAATTACGTGCTGGCCGGGACACATTATTATTATTCTTGAGACCTTGAGCGACGAAGAATGACGTAAATTCGAGGAAAGGGAAAGAGCAGTTGCCTACGTTGGGTTATCCTACACGTCTCACGCGCTGTCTCGCTTGTGGCCCTTCTCAAGTTTCTCAATCAACGACAGCCAGCGCACCCTCGATTTCAAATCCTGTTGGATTCCGCTTTAAGTACCTTCTGACGCAACGGCTCTCAAGACTCACGTTGCGCCCTCCGATGTCATTTTTACAGGAAAACTCACTTTAACGCCTGGCCGATCGCTTTATCCGGGAGAAATTTTCTTTCTCTGTTTACCTTTCTCCACTTTTCGGCGTTTGTTTGCAAAGGGGAAATATATCGGCGTGTGTGTGTGTGTGTGTGCAGCTCAGGAATGGAAAATGGCGACCGCCTCTAACAGACAAGGCGATACTTGGTACAGAATCGAAAGACGTGAAGTCTGAGAACCTGACTTGGGTCGACTTGGCGTCGCTCTCGGCTTTCTAGCCATTAGCAGTAGCCGCCTCGCTTCTTGGAAATCTCGACGATTTATTTGCCCGGCCTGCCTCCTGCAAAGATTTCGTTTGCAATTTCCAAAATTTAGAATGCCGCAGTATTCCAGTCCACCCGGTAGACGCGTCGTATCTCGGGCAACGCTTTCTTCGTTCGCGCGACCAGCAGTCGAAAGTGTTTCTAAATTTACGAATGAATTTGCAATTGCACCTGCACTCCTGCCGACGTCACGCCTCGCTCTTGCGAACAGTGACGACATCCACGAGCTTCGGGATCGACCTTCCCCGCCGTTCATTTCGGTGACTTCTCTTCGGTTCCCGACGAGTCTCACGGTCGACGGTTGAAGCTTTGAAATACGCCAGGTGCCATTCAGGACCAAGAAGATTATTTTTATTTCTCTCATTCAAAGCCACATTGGCGCCGGCTGCTTCTGCTCGAACTTCCACTTCCAGCCCGGCCCCTCGTAAAACTTGGAGGTAATCGACGTCTGCTGGACACTCCCGATGAGGTCGACGCCCAGACGAGTACAGGAGTCAGTAGTGCTGGGTAGAACACAGATGCACGCAGCTACTTGCCTCGGGGTGTGTCACTCGTGGCAAGAGAGTGCGAGAGAGAGAGAGAGTGGGAGGGTGCGTAGGCCGAAAGGATTCCCAGAAGAGGAAAGAAATATCGGATATTGTGGAAGCGACGGCTGAAAAGACACTCGATATTCCATTCCAAGTGAAAAGTGACACGAGGACACGATTCGTTCTTGAGGCTGAACCTGATGAATAAATATGTAAATACTACCTGCCGCAGCAACCACAACGTTACGGGTTGGCTGCGTTCGTCCACACTGCTCCACTCTATATACAGTTCACATAATTCCCCTGAAATTTTATGGCTCGCGTTATTCCACTATTTACTCCGTTCGACTCTTCTCTACTCTTCTCTACTCGATTCTACTGGATTCTATTGGATTCCACTGGAGTCTGCTCGAGGAGTCCAGGCGCGTTCGAAACTCGCTCGGACTCGCTTTGCTGCTCGCAACGGTTCGCTCAATTCCCAATGCCGCTCGCTCCCTTTTCTACGACTTTACGAAGCGTAGGTAACCCATTTAATTTATCCCTGAGAACGAGACAGAAGGCGTCCATTAGCGACGGCACCAGAGTTCAGACGTATAGAGATCAGGAAGGGAAAAGTAAAAGGTGTAGCAGAAGGATAAAGGAGAAGAGTGGAGAGAGAGAGAGAGAGAGAGGGAGAGACGATTATGCGGAAGGCAAATGAGAGAGGAATTACGGAGACTCGATAAGCAATAAAGCCAATAACACGAGACAGGGTTCTCGGACGTTTCGTCGCACTTTCATCGTCCCACTTTCTCCATATAGAGTCACAGTCCAGGCCGCCATAGTCGGCGCATCGCGAGAGCCAACGAGGACGAGTTTTCACGAAGAGTTACGTCGTGGTATACCGTCTCTTCGTGAGCTCTGAATTATTTAAATCGGCAATTAATAGCACGCCTATATACATGTGTCGGTCACTGGTCTATACAATCTGTTATCGGCAGTGGCTCCATCTACGGAGGAGCGCCCACTTTCTCTCCCAGCTACGAAAACTCATTGGCATTCGCTGCAGAAGGCTGCACCTTTTGAAACGTCCCATCGGCCAGGATTTTCTTACCGCTTGAGAAAGTAGCGAATCATCTCCTGCCACTCTTTCTGCTTCTCTCATATTTTTCATCGCATCCTCCTACTCCTTCGCTTTACCGATTCGAAGGTTCCGCGTCAATAAATTGTTATATATGACTAATTGTCAGTAGGGATAATTCTGCGTGGTAGGCTTGGTTGATCGCGCGGATGGGCGAAGGTTAATTCCGAACCTGGGGTCACACTCTAGTTGACGATCTGAACTCAAAATCCACGAAGATGCATATCAAGGTCGATCCCGCAGACTACATTTCCTCAACTAGCAGAGTTGGCTCTCTCTAATTATCAGCCGTTAACTCCAGGGAACAATTAGAAGCCTGAGGTCTAATTAAATTCGGTGCTGCTAGTTTCTACGGTTCCTCCCGTTTTTATCTCTACTAGCTGCTCCCTTGTATGAGCTGCGATCGATATTCATATATACATATATGAGTGTAATAAAAGTAATTCTAATTAACAGAAGGTCAGAGGAGCGACAATACGCCGCCGTCGGTCTGGTTGGAACGCAACTGGGTGCTTTACGACACTGAGCCAGTTGGGAACACGGTGACCAGGGTGCACGCCGAGGATAACGAGAAGGATCAATTGACGTATGGCTTGGAACCTTTGGGACACAGTTACAATGGCGATGACAGCCCTCAGCCCCCGTTGCCCTTCAGAATCGAGAACACCACTGGGATCATCTACATCAATGAGACCCTCAAGGGGCGGGTGAGTAGCTACGGCGCAGGCGACGCGGTATCCTGGAACGCGCTGGGATTGCAGGTCGACTAAAGACCAGTTTACACTGTTTTCTTCTCCATCATTTTCAGGGAGGACAGAACCTGTTCCTGTACGTGACAGTCTCCGATGGGCAGCTCACCTCCAAGACTGAGGTCTACGTCAACATCAAGAACAGCTCGGCACCCAATGGAGGACAAACTGGGTATCTGAGAAAATATAAAAAATTCTCCATCACGCTATCCAACTGGGAGCAGGATCTTGAGGTTGATCTATTTCCCTAGGTCACCCTTTCCAAGTCAGCACGGCTCCGGAGGAAGGATTCGACCTCCCATCTTGGGACTTCCCAATCTACAGAATTACCCTAGGTTGCCTATAGCACCGCCACCTCATCTGAGCCAGCCCCCCTCGCCCCCAGCGCCGCCCCTGTCGACTCAATCGAGAACCAAGACGACCAGGCTGCAGCCGGCGATGAAGTTGGAAGAGGAAACGACGAGGTCGACTAGCAAGTTATCGGAAGAGTCTTCGGAATTAAATGAGGTCGCCGGCCCGCCTCTCAGTTCAAAAGTCCCGCCGAGCGATGTGCAGGCGTCTCAGGACATCGCGATGACCATCGTCCCCGTAGCCGCCGTGTGCGCCCTGGTCCTTGGAATAGGGATGGGCGCATGGTCGCTCAGGCACAAATTCTGCTCCACGCGAAAATCAAAGGAGGAAATGGTAGGTGTCCCGGTGGTGGTTTAATTCCAAAATGAACCCCTGGGAATTTCCCCTGGGAGGCCGAATCACTCTTGCGAAATGCACATTTCAGAAGGAACAGGCGTCCGTGAGCATCTCAAATATATCTGACGACCCTTCGCTGGTTTTGAAGAGATGGCCAGGTCCAAAGGCAACGAGCAACCGGTACGAGTCCTGGGAGAAGGAGAATCAGATGGGAATTCAGAACAAGTCTCAGGAAGACAGCTGGGAGTTCCCGAGACACAGGCTTAAGGTATCAGTTGCGCAATGGCGGGCTTGTTCTTCGATCACACCGTTCGATCGTCTCACTGACGGGGACGTCGGTTTAGGTTTTCAATATTCTGGGCGAGGGATGCTTTGGCCAAGTCTGGAGGTGCGAAGCCCTGGACATCGACAACCAACCAGGAGCGACGATCGTGGCCGTTAAGACTCTGAAGGAAAATGCGACCGAACGCGAGAGACTTGACCTTGCGCAAGAGCTCAAGGTCATGAAGAGTCTGGAGCCTCATCCGAACGTCGTGAGACTCCTGGGATGCTGCACCGAACGCGAACCAATGTTCGTCATCTTGGAGTACGTCAGTGGTGGAAAACTTCAGAGTTTCCTGAGGGCATCCAGAGAAGAAAGGAATCATGGCGGTCCTGGTTTGACTTCCAGAGACCTCACCGGTTTCGTTTATCAGGTACGGACTGGATCAGTCCTCCCAAGGTCGTCCCTTCTCTCAATTAAAGTCGTTTACGAAGACTTAATATTTCCACCCGAATGTCTTTCGTTTCCCAGATCGCCAAAGGCATGGAGTACCTTGCCTCGAAGGGAATCATCCACAGGGACCTGGCCGCCCGAAATATCTTGATAGACGAGAACCGCGCGTGCAAGGTTGCCGATTTTGGATTCGCAAGGGACGTCGCGGCCAATCAGATTTACGAGAGGAAATCGGAGGGTCGGCTGCCCATTAGGTGGATGGCACCGGAAAGTCTCTACGACAACATCTTTTCCGTTAAATCTGATATTTGGAGTTTCGGCGTTCTCATATGGGAGATAGTCACTCTGGGCTCGACACCCTATCCTGGACTCGCAGCAGCCGAGGTCTGTACCATTGACTTTGGCGACCTCACTCGGTCGAATAACTAACGAAATCTCTATGCCCAGTACACCGAGGCAATAAGCACAGGGAAAATAAGGGAAACGTCTGTTCGCAGGTAATGAGGAGAATCAAAGAGGGTTACAGACTGGACCGACCGGAGCACTGCAAGAGGGAGCTCTACAATATCATGTACTATTGCTGGGATAAGGATCCTGCTTGCAGACCGTCCTTCACGGAATTGGTCAACTTGGCGGAAGGACTCCTTCTCGATGAAACGGACTATATAGAACTCGACAGGTTCCCAGATCATTCGTATTATAACGTTCTGAACCTCAGCGGGGAGAAGCTGTAAATGATCTTCCACTCGCTATCTTACCATACCTGATTACTAAGGTTTTCAATCATTATGATAGAAGATCCTGAAATACTTGCGCGTGAGCTTGCATCGTGTGAAAATGCGTCTACGTATGTATGTATGTATGAAAAAAAAAAATGAAAGATTTATAATGACGTAACAACTCTATTTCCATGATGCACAGTTCATCCGATTACTCATTTATGTTTATACTCGAATCAATTGACGCTCTAATTATTTTGAGAAAATCCATACGAGACGCACGTGAACTAGTCAGAAGCGTTCGAATGAATTTTTCTATTACAGAGATCTTTAGAAAAAGAGAGATAGAAGCAGACGAAGTTGTAGATTTGATTCGCGATGCCCCTTAACAATTATAAATGTATATTTATATACTTTTTTATTAATCGATAACACAGCGCCGACTATTTTAATTGAGATGATAAGCATTTATATGAATTCATCGTTACAAAGAGATGCTCCTTGTAAATATGTATTAAGTCAATCTGTACCTAAGTTATCTTCGAATTACTTTAAGAATAGGAATAAATAGCGATAGATGTTTTATCATTGGTTTATTTTCTGAACTCATTGATTAAGATCCTACGCGACATTTTAAAAACACATTACTTAAACGAGTCAAGGCTCGTTTTTAAAAAAACTACCTTGAGAAAGGAAAGATAAATTTTGAATGGCGTGGGAATGCAGAAATTAATAGGTCAGGCCTGTTCTATATACCCAGATAACGTTTATTTGCATAGATACTTAATTATGCCATATTAAAAACAACCGAGCCAGACATAAATTGTTGATAATAACGTGACATTTTTATGTTATATATATACTGACGAGCTATTCAGAATATAGGATGTAATCTTAGCAATAGATCTATATTTCTATAAGATAGGTTATTAGCACAAAGTTCCCACAGTTCTTCCTCGGAACAAAACAAAACGGATTTCAAAAGTAAAATTGCCATCTCTGACAGATAAAAGAGATAATATATAGTTCACCGGAAAATTCTAAAGGCTCTAGTAATAATGATTATAAATAATTATTAAGAATTTCCAGATAGGTCTGTTCAACTTGCCGCCTATAACGATTATCCCTTCCACGCGTATAAAAGACTAGCTCCGAACTGAACGGCGCAGTGTAGCCAATGTAGCGACGCTCGTGTCTGTTGCTCTGTGTTTTCTACAGTCGTTGTCAGTTTCTCGCGTTCTGCAGAATCTTATCGGCTTTTCATGTCGATCTATTCGAATTTCTCACATATTCATATAAAAAATACAACAGTTGACACTGACTAGTACACTTCGATTACACAGAAAACATCGTTAGCCATGGAGTCAGAAAAAATCAATGTGCCTTACTCGCAGAGTGGAGACAAGGAACAGGACGAGGTTAGTAACTCAAAAGATTGTATATTTTTCGTGACGGAGGCGTAGATATGCATGTTCGAGAAATAGGATAAAATTATCAATCTCTGATGAAAATATTATTCGCGATATCGTAAGCCTTCGGAAGGTTTACACTGCCGTATCTGCTACAGGTTATGTAAACCTGTCTGTCAACTGAGTGGGACTGAAATTTACGGGCAGTGGCGCCGACAACTACTTTGCTCAATAATTCGATAAACTTAACTCACCTCATCCGATGATAGCACAAATATTTTAAGATATATCGATACAATTTTTTTGTCAAAATAACTTCAGTGTTTTCAGACTCGAGTGACACACGCGATTCGAATAGAAACGACGAGAGCGCTCTTAGCGGAGCATCGCGACACTTTAACGTACGCTTTCTGATGTATTACCTTCTGCGATTGACTGTGCCGAATGAATTGTCGATTTGAATCTCTGAATGGCATCTGGCACCCTTTTTATTACAGAAACTGCTCGAGCCATTTACTTACATACACCAACTGCCAGGAAAACAAATCAGGGCTAGGCTGGCTCATGCCTTCAATTATTGGCTAAAAATACCCGATGATAAACTGCAAGCCGTCGGCGATATAACGCAGATACTTCACAACTCTAGTCTCCTGTAAGTTTTACATTTTATAACAAAGTTCAGACAGTTGTGTGGCAAAAGTAAAGAACATATTGTGCAACCAATGCGAGATGGATGTTTTGTCTTGTCTTTATTTTCTCGTAGAATAATTCCGGACGAATGTTAAAATCAATAGTTATTTTTTCTCAATGAACAGGCTTCCACCTTCCATTAGCACTAAAAGAGCGAAGTTGCTCGTTTTAAGTGACCGGGGTACTACTTCTCCAGAATTCGTCCTATCTACACAACTGATGCATTTTATTTGGTATTTAATTTTCTACTGGTTGTGGCATCCTTTCCTTTAACTATTCTCTTTTTTATCTTTTCTGTTCTCTGCTTTGAATTTAAGTATATATTCGGGTCCGCTTAATCAGAGAAATATCTTATTTCACAAATTAGGAGGAATCTTACTTTTTTCCTGGAGAAGATTTTCAATCTCCCTTTGTACGCTGGATACTATATTGTGGTTACTCGAAGGGAAACCAGCGGTCTCTTACAATTAGTCAAAATTAGTGTTGTTTAACATACATACATTGGCCTCAAGAAAATTACTAGATGGGCAAGTAAAAGAATTGTCAATAATTGCTATTCCAGTTGGTGAAGTTAAAAGTAACGTTCCTTAAAGCGATTGGTAAGAGGGCCTGGCACTTGGGGATGGCGAGCCTAAAAATAAGTCTGTTCAGAAAGTTCTTTGGCTTCTCTTTCGTAGCATAGACGACATTCAGGACAACTCCATTCTCCGTCGTGGAATTCCAGTGGCACATTCGATTTACGGAGTGGCCAGTACAATCAACGCGGCCAACTACGTCCTCTTCATCGCTCTCGAGCGGGTCATCATGCTGAATCATCCCGAGGTCAGTAAAGGAATGTGACCAAGAAGGGATGTTAAACTTACCATGACCTTAAACCGATGCATCGGCCGCTACCCTCGATTCTTCGATTTAGGCCACCCAGGTGTACACGGAACAGTTGCTCGAGCTCCATCGCGGCCAGGGTATGGAACTCTACTGGAGAGACAACTACATCTGCCCTTCGGAGCAAGAATATAGGAAAATGACTATGAGAAGTGAGTGTTTGCATTTTTTTTTCTCGAGGCTATACAATTTTTCCAAATTTACAGCATTCGCTTGTTCTCTCCGTTTTTTTTTCAGAAACTGGCGGACTATTCAATTTAGCTGTGCGACTGATGCAGCTATTCTCCGAGTGCAAGGACGACTACTCTCAGTTGGCAGGGATCCTGGGACTCTACTTTCAAATAAGGGATGATTACTGCAATCTTTGCTTGCAGGAGGTGAGATGTCTTTTACTTAAAGTATAGTTCAGAGATTCAGCTTCGATTAATTATACCTTTCGATATAGTATACAGACAATAAGAGCTACTGCGAGGATCTCTCCGAGGGTAAATTCAACTTTCCAATAATTCATGCGATCCAGAATCATCCGGAAGATCGTCAAATAATGAGTATCCTTTTTTGAAAAATTCTATAATTAACTGAGCTTGATGAATCATGCTATTTTCTTTAATGCATATCCTTCCTAGATATCCTTCGACAGCGCACCAAGGACGTCGAAGTTAAGCGCTACTGTGTCAGTCTTCTCGAGAAGTTTGGCTCTTTCGCTTACACAAGAACTGTTTTACGCGAACTCGACAAAAAAGCACGGGACGAAATTGAGCGGCTGGGTGGAAATCCATTCCTTATTAAGATCTTAGATGGATTACTCACGTGGGATCAAAACCGAGAGGCTGAGACGCGACTTACTAAATGTTAATTGACTATCTATAAGGATGACCTAACTAATTGCCACGAAATGACTTATTTATGATTACAAATGTATCCATGCTATCTATTGTTACGTATGCGATCAGGCTAGTCGTGTGTGCTGAAAACGTTGAGTCTAATTGGGCGTCTGAAGGATGCCACGTATTTTCATTTCGACTGCACTCGTTATGGTATTCTGAATAAGTGTGTAATTTCATGTATCAAGATAACGAAGATAAATAATAAAACAGGTTAAAAGTGATTTGCAATTTTTAAAGGACGATTATTATCTATGCATATTTATCTTCGCTAACCTTGTTTTCTAATATATCTCTCTCTCATGTTAATCAATGCAGGTACGCAAATTTATTCCAGACTTTCAAAATGTATTTAAATAACAATAATAATAAATTGCGAAATGAAACGCTCTCGCTTTTCCTGTTGTTTTATTATCAACTGTGATGCGTACAACATTATAATTTTATAATATTTAATTTATAATAATAGAACCTTTGCTAGTAGAACTATATTATACACAAATATCTGCAATACGACTCGATATCAATAGACATTTTTACGTATAAAATCGTACCTCTCGCGTTTCTCCCTTTTGTATCTCTGAAATAATACACACTTCTTACTGGCACAGTCCTCTGGGAAAGCGAGATCCGCTCTGTGGCGAATTCCCGTAGCTGCTTCGAGAACAGTCACCACTCATCCCTTTACCTGAGGCGTCCGCTCACTTTCTTCAAAGGGTTTATCCTTCAAACTTTTCTATTGTTCTTTTCTTTGAATTTGCCTCCTTGATCTCCTGTCGGGCACGTTCGTCACTCCCGGCGATAACTCTATTCCACTCCAAGCAAGCTCATTGACTTCTAAGCAGGCACCTGAATCCTGCATCATTCACGCGATGGACGAAGCTCCTCCTGGCACGAGTTCTACGCAGACGGACGGTGGAGGTGCAAAGTCGTTCGCATATGAATGTCGAAACTGAAGTCCTGCTCATGTTCCAAAGACTAGGATAACGTGGCGATCTGACACGTCCTTTGTTCCGGTTCGCTGTCCTCGTCCGATTCGCTTGCCCAGGAGGGCTGCCTCTCATGTCACATTTCCCCGTCGCTATCTCCCATCCGTCCTGGGGGTCCGGAAACGCCGTCGTCCAGAACTTCCGTTACCTGTCCGAAAAATGGACCATTCCAAGATCACTGGACTCATTAGCCCTGTCGTAATCTTACCAGGACTTCTTCGAAGCGGTCGTAGCTCTCGGGTCTCCCATTGAGTAGACTCTCACCCACAGAATCCAGACCCCCGCTGGATTGACTGTTGCGTCGATTCAAAGCACTGGACGCGACGTGCAACAAAGACAAAACTGCCAGGAGCCCAGCTGAAAGGACATCGATAACGAGGTGATAACGAGGAAAGGCAAACTTCGAAATAAAAGTTTTGGGCTTTTTACCAGCGACGAAGGAGAGCCAAAGTCTGTGAGGTTTCCAGGCTAAAAGGCAGGAGAGCGGCAGGTAGAGGAGTGCCTTCCGCCAGCCTCTCGTCAACGACAGGACACCGAACCAACAACAGGAACAAATGGAGTCCTCGTTCCTGGAACAAGGTACAGACCGTACTGCTTTAAAGTTTTCCAAGATCAAAGCTTTTAGGAGCAAACTTCTCGGTGGAAGGGCTTAATTCTTGGAATTGCGGAAAAGCCCCACGGGTGCCGAGGATGTCACGTGTTCAATCAGTGCGCAATTGACCCCGTCGTGGAACCCGCGCTGCTGTTTCTCATCTCTGATCCTGAGACCTGCCGTCCCCGGAGATTGAGAGTCCATTTGAAATTCCTGCGAAGATTCGGACTGGTTCGAAATCGACTGTGACTTTGACGCCGGCGGCTGAGAGAGCTCGATATCGGAAATTCCTGGATACGAGTTGGAGAGTGTCATTTCCTCCGAGGGCTCCGGACTTTAATCGCTAGGAGCCTAGTAATATCCGTTCTCGAAAATGAAAACCGGTCACTGGGCCTGCGTGCCCGAGAGACTCCCGAGCGATCCTCGACTTCCGGCAAGCATGTCTTTTAAACGCGAGGGCGAAATACATGAGAACTGACGGAGGCCAATTTGGAGTCCGGAAACAAAGTTTGACTTGAATAGAGCTCGTAAGGTTAAAGGACTGCGGGTGCTAACGCTAACGCGGATGTAATTGTTAAAGAGGGAACCGGAAGCCGCGCGACCTCAAACACTAATTTATCCCAAATTAACCGCAACTCGCCTCCATTCTCGCGAAATTAAACAGCAATTAATACCTCGTTTTGAGAAACTTGAATTTTAGTTTTTCAAGCAATTTCAGAAATTATCCCTTGAATCGAGTTGCTCTCAGACATTTAATTAGCTCGAACGCTTCGATCGTTGAAGTTCCTCCTGGCTTCCGGTTTCTCAATGACTCCTCGCCAATTGCCAATAGAGCAATGTCCAATGTCCAATCCACGGAGAATGCGGCTTCGAATGACACCCCAGGGCCTTTCATTCACTCATCCCTCCGAGAATTACTTTCGTCTCTGACTTCATCGAATTGACTGAGATCCACGACATGGGTAGAGCTGGCCCGATATGTAAATTCGGAATTTTGCAATTCCAGCTAGTGGATATCGCTCAAAGGTTATTTTCTTCGAGCGCAGCCTTGCGGTAGCCCCAGCATAGTAAGTAACTCGGCAGCCAGCTAACTTTCTAACGAACCAAAGTCATTTCTACCCAGCCACCCCTTTGAACACCACGAGTTCCAGGTGCATTGGCCTTTGGGGCCGAACCTCCCTCCTATCCTCGGTATCCTCCAGCTGCCTCCAGCTGCCTCCTGCCTATCTGCTCTCCCAAGGACGGCGGTTCCGGGCTGTCACGTACCTCACACAGATCTGCACGAAGAGCGTGATGGCCCAAGTGATCTCCAGGAAGAAAATCAGGACGGACGCCGCTCTGAAAGAAAGCAGGAGGAGGTTCGTGAGGGACGACGCGCCAAGTTGTCACAGGAAGAGGAAGTTCGCTACTCTGCAGAGTTAAGCTACTGCAGCCGTCTGCTTCCGGCTGTGGATTTGATTTTACTGGATCCGAAGTCGTCGCGACTACCGATCTAATTTGCCTAGTGACGCAATTATGTTCCAGGGGGAAGTGAAGTTGCATTGGGCAAATTAAGACGGCAGCTCAGAACTCTGCTTCCCTTCGATAAGTCAATTGTCATTTTCCCAGTCCGAAGTTCAAGCAAAATCTTAGCAAGAAAAGCTGCGGCTGTTGGTTGGGAATCTGCGCGACTACGACGGATAGCGGGAAGACGTGCCAAGTGTAAAGAGGATAAGAAATAACGAAAGTAAAGAATAAAACGAAACAGCCGATACCGACACGTGCAGGGCGTCGGATGGTATTAAGTATATAAAAGATCCATTGAGCAAAGTCTATTTACAAAATAACAGTAACAATTCGAAATTCTTGCTTCCCGTTTTCCATATCGATGAAACAATAATGCGTCAAACAGAATTACGATGCAAAATGTGATGAATTATTCCTCACGTAACGTAATAGCCGATCAGGTGACGGTGGTAGGCCACATCGACGCCGACGCCGCATACGACTGTAACAGACAAGCAGAGAGTGTGACGTCAATCGAAGCGTCGCGACTTGAAAACGCTGATCGCCAGTCGTAATATCAGTCTTGAAAAAGTTTTCGAGCCTTAAAAATGTTTTTACTAAGAAAATTGAGATATCTACTTTTCCTCTAACACTGAGGTCGCCTGCGCATTCCTTAGCGCCCCTGAACCTTTAAATTAGCCTATAAACGTGAACTTGGGACAATTTGTCAGCCTATCCTTTCACAGGTGCCTATAAGGCCTATCCAGCAGGTGATCCATCATCCAAGGTGTATTGTGCCATCGCCTGGAGGACTCTACCGAGTGACGCCAGAAACCAGAGCTGGTGCTACAGGAGTCGGACGATGACGTAAGAGAAATATGAGGATATCGCTAGGAGGGCCGATCTAACCTAGTACATACTATACCTAGTGTACATATACATGGCGCTTGTAAGAGCAGCCGAAGAGCGAAAGTGGATCTTGCGCTTCCTTAAGCGAAGACAAAGGAAAGTGTGACAGCCGTGTTTATCCCGTGTAATACGGAGACCCCGATGTCTGGTTAATTGTTACTTAGAGCCAGGAGGTGTCCATGTCGCGAGAGACCCTCAAGATCGAATGTTACTCAGCTGCCAGCTTATCAATTCTGCATGGGTGTTGATACGTCAGACATGCCTCATCATTCATTAGCCCTTCTACCTTAGTGCGCCAACAATTTAGCCTTCCGCCTCGGGCGTCTCCTCATATACAAATACATTCTTGACGCGATCGCAGATCCAGGATCGAGGACGGACGCAGTCGGGCCGCCGCTCCAGCCTCCATCGCGAGGTTAAAGGTTAAAGGTTCGCCGTCCTTTGTTCCCTATGATTCCCTTGGAAAGTCCCAGCATAATTCCGTGGTTCCGCGTTCCTCTGGCGGTCCTAACATTCCAGAAAACGGATTTTATCCCCTCGAGATTGATCGTAACCTCCTTGGTAGTTGGAATAAATAAATAGGGCCCATTGGAGAAGTCGTGGCTGAAGAATGGACGACGATTAGGCGAACGGATCGATGCTGGCTGCGCGGAAGGAGAAGAAGAGGAGGGTGGTAGTGGTAGTGGCAGGG